TGGGGGGGTTGGGGTCTGGTGGGGTCATGAGCAGGGTGATTCGGGAGGTGAGTGCTGGGCTAGCGGCTGCATGCCAGGGAGCCGTGAGCCAATCTGCAGGCTGCCAGCCCCAGACAGTGACTCCGGCATGTCCCTGGGGGGAATTTTCCCCCTTCCAGGCCTCACCTGGGCAAAGGGACCCGCACCCTCAGCATCTGCAGGGGCACATCCAGCCGCCCAGCAGGCTGGGAGCATCATCCCCTTTGGCAGACCACAGCGAGCACGAAGGCCCCAGATGTCCCCACTGGCAACCTGGCACAGCACGGTGAACCCCTCCGTGCCAGGCGCTGGCACGGGAACAGACGAACTTGCGGTGGCCGGGAACAAGACGGGCTGGAAGGGGACGGGTGTTTGGCTGCAGGGGAGGGTGGGCTCAGGTGGGACGGGGCTGTGCTGTGCTGCCCCAGCCCTGCTCCCATGGTGTATCCCCCCCTGCAGAGGTCACAGGAGGCTGGGGGATGCTGGTCCTCGCTATGGGACAGGCTGGGGGCTTCAGAGCCCTGTCTGAAGGGACTTGGGAGATGGGAGCTCTGAGGGCTGGGCCACTGCCCTTGAGTGCAGGGCCAGGTGGGTGGTGGGTGCAGAGCCATCACAGAGTGGTGACACCACACATCTGTCTGCATGTGTCCTCCCTTCTGGGGGACAGCCAACGGTCCCCACAGCCCCTGCATGGCTGGCACTGCACCCCCAGCCCCCCAGTCCAGCCAGCACTGCACCCTATAGCCCCTTCCTGGCTGGCATTGCACCCAGAGCCCCCTGCCCCTGCTGGCACTGCACCCTATAGCCCTGTCCCAGCTCTGCACCAGCACTGCACCCCCCAACAGCCAGCACTGCACCCCCAACAGCCAGCACTGCACCCCACCCCGGGCTGCTGTGCAGAAGTCTGCAGACCCATGCCCACAGCCTGCCTGTTCACACCAGGACCCCCGGGGCAGTGCCTGCCCACAGGCACCCTAAAAGCTGGTCCTGGGTGAAGTGGGGCTGTGCTGGGCCTGGCTGGGCTTCGCCTGGGCGTGAAGGGTGCCTGCACGGCAGGAGGGGCCAGGCGAGGCGGGGAGGAATGCGAGTGGGAGAGCAGCCGGGCATGTAGCAACAGCTCCTGGGGCGCGCAGTGCCGGGGATCCCACACGCTGCACGGGGCAGGGAGCAGAGCCCTGGCAACAGGGCTGGTGGCCGGCATGGGGCGCCCCATCACTTGCCCCCTCTGAGAGCCAGGCAGCGGAGCAGCAAGTCCCCCAGAGGCAGCACGGCTGCCGTGGGGTTCTTGGCCCCGGGGAGGTTGGCTCCGACGTGGAGGGGCTGGAAATCCCCCAGCGGGTGATGCCTGGCTGCATCGACGCGAGGTGCTGAGGATCCCGGGGGGCTGAGGAGTAGCTATGACCCCTGAGAAGGTGCTGAGAGAGGGGGTGCTGGAGAAGCGGAGCGGGGGGCTGCTGCAACTCTGGAAGAAGAAGCGGTGCCTGCTGACGGAGAAGGGGCTGCAACTCTTTGAGCCCAAGGGCTCGCGGCGCAAGGAGCTGAGCTTCGCCCGCATGAAGGCGGTGGAGTGCGTGGAGTGGAAGGAGCGGCACATCTACTTCACGGTGGTGATGGACGACAGCCACGAGATCGACTTCCGCTGTGCCCAGGAGAACCCGGGCTGGAACGCCGAGATCACCATGGGCCTCGTCCGCTTCAAGAACCAGCAAGCAATCCAGGTCGTCCGCGCCCGGCACAGCTGCCGAGCAGGTACTGGACCTTTCACCATGCCGCGGGTCGGGGTGCGGGACCCACCAGAGGATGAGGAACCCTGGCTGTCGGGTCCCATCTCTGAGTGGTTCGACTTCCCCATGGGAATCACAGAAGGGATCCCACAAATGGGGAAGGGTCTGCAGGGTGGTGATTCTGTGTCCCCCTGCACTGGCTGGGCTCTGCCCTTCCCATCCCCTGCTGGGTTTCACCTCCCCGCATCCCTGGAGAGGGACTTTCTAACGCCCTCCCTCTGTCTGGGGTGGCCCTGAGGAATGTGGGGGCTCTTTGCCATCTTGCACATGGGAAGGTGCTGAGGACCGTGGCTGGCTCTGCTCCCCAGCTCCCCTCGGGGCTGGATCCTGCCCCAGGTCCCAGTGCTGGCCGGGTGGGTAACAAGCACATTCTCTCCGCAGTGGTACAGTTTGACGCAGCCCCCGTGGGACAGCCTGCGGACACGCAGCATCCGAAGAGCAGGATGGAGATGGCCCTTGGTCCAGTGGGCGGTGGGGAGAATGGGATCCCGGCGGGCAAGTGAGGCCACTGCTGTCTGCAGCCCAGGGACAGGGACGGTGGCCCTGGGGTGGCCAGTGCAGGCACTGGGTCCCCCCATCCTGGGGCAGGACAGAGGCACCGCAGGAGCTGGGCTGGCACAGCTGCAGGGGTCAAGCCATATCCCCTTGGCACGACGGGGCAAAGAACACAATCGGGGCCACTACTCGGGGCTCTGGGCATGGCAGGAGGTGACATCCCTGCCTGAGGGCCCACTGTCCTTCAGCTGACATGGCCAGGACCCTGGTGGACTGGTGGGGACACCCAGGCCTTTCCTGCGGGACAGGATGGATGGATGGATGGATGAGGTTGAGCCTGAAGGAAGCAGTGTGACGGTGAGCTCTGCTGAGCACCAGTGGCACTGGGACAGATGGATATGGCTGGGGACAAGGCTCCCCCTCAGCACCCACATTGAGAAGGGACTGGAGAGCTGCTGCTGCAGCAGGGACCCCTCTGGGCACCGTACCCGATGACACAGTGACGTGCCTGTGCTGCTGGACACTGTCCTGCTCTGGGCTGTCCTTGGGCTAATGGGGTCGCTGGGGAAGGCAATGGGGACCCCAACTCCCTGTACCAAACAATGTCCCCAAACAGGACCTTCTGCTGCTTATCCTGGTATTGCTTTGATTTGTGGGGCCCTGCAGAGTATGGGAGAGCACAGAGATTTGCCCATCCCCCTAAATCTGCCAGCAGCCCACAGTCGGGCTCCAAAGCCCCCCACTGCCACGCTGAGCCTCTCCAGTCACCCATCTCACTGAACCCGTGTCCCCAGGGGTTCCCATGGCGGTTTGTGGGCAGCTGACCCTGCAGCAGCGCTGCCTGGCTTTGCAGGCAGGGGTGGCAGGCAGGGGAAGGGATGGCTCTGCCCCGACAGGCAACGCAGACGCAAGAGCCTCGAGCCACTGTGCTCCGCAAGCTGGAGCCTGAGCCCCAGCCCCGCGGCCGCAGGCGCTGCAGATCCTTCTGGAGATTGCCCGGCTGCGTGGGAATCGGGGAGCACGGTGCCCTGTCCCCCCGGGCCGTGGCAGCCAGCCCCAGCC